ACACTGCATTTAGACATTTTAGATGACATTTTAAAAGAAAGTTCACTCGACTCTTGCAGATAGACTTTCCACAATACAAGAACTAAGGGTCATAAAATGAAACTAGTAGGTAGTAAGTTTAAAAATAACACAAGGGAGCTCTTTTTCACATAGTACATAATTAAAGTGTTGAACTCATTGCCACAAGATGCTGTGGAAGCTGGCAGTTTAACCAGATTAAAAAACGGATAGGACCCATTCTTGAAGGAAAGGTGCAACAGTAGCTACTGAACATGGGAATTAGAATCTGAACTTCTTAGCTAGACCTTAAACACTGGAAACTGCAAATGAGAGAGGAACAAGAGAAACCCTCTGGTCATACCTAGTTCACACTCCTTGTCAGCATCCACTCTCTGTCACTATAACACAGGATACTGCACAACACAGACCTATGATCTGATGCAGTAAATGGCAGTCCTTACGTTCTTAAGTTACATTCCATCCTGATTAACATGCAACTAAAAAAAACATTTTGCAAGATTAAATATTCGTACCAGTTTCAAAAATAAAACATATAAAACAATTGGAACATATTTAATCAGCTCTTTATACCTGGAAGTAAGACACACCTCAACAATCTTAACCTATGCAGTTTTTAGCTTTTATCTTGGAATATTATCAAAGATTCTCTCTATAATTTCCTGACACGCTGAAAGTTTTCTGGCCCTAAGTATGGAACGTGATACTTGAGGAATACAGTAGTTAATGCATTAACAGTAATAAAAAAGATTCTGGGCTCTTGCTTTGGCATGTTTTCAGCCATCTTCTTAGGACGGTGGGGAATTTAAGTGAATGATTATTAGTATGGACCAAAACACTAGACTTCTTTAGGTTACAGGTTTATGTGGAACATCAACCTAAGTTATGTTGCCTGATTAGCACATCACCCCTTGGCACCTCCATCAAAAAGAGGAACAAGGAGCGGAGGAAATCAACCTAAGCTTTGACATAAGCCATAGAAGACCACCATGCAGTGGACCACAACTAAAAAGTACAGAATCCCTCACATCCTGCAATTCAGAATAGAGTCCACCAACATATAGCTGTATATGTGTTCTGTTATTCAATTTGTTTCTTTATTAAGGCAGACAAGGTTCTTTGGGTAAATCTAATATCTTTTATTAGACCAACTAAAATAGCTGGAAAAATTCTTCTTTGTGCGCTTTCGGGTACAAACATCCTTCTTCAGGCAGTTGTTTTGTGCTTTTCCTGAACAAGGTAAAAGCTGATATGCAAGAATTCAGGTCAGTGAGAATGCAAATGTGTGGCAGTGAGGGTCATAGGGGGTGAGAGACAGTGGGTGAGAGGCAGGTGGGCAGGGGGGAAAGGAAATAGTGACCTGGAGATAGAATGTAGGTAGTAAACTGTAGAGAATTTACCTGGGATATCAGATGGCAGGTAGGTTATATAATATGCCATAAATCCAATGTCTATATTTGGTCCATGATTTTTTGTATCTAGTAGGTTGATGAAGTGAAGTTCATTAATGTATTCAGCGTAGTCATGTTAATTAAAACCAAGCTAATTAAAATCAATTATTTTTTGTAAAGTAATTGATTACTTTACAAGACAAACAACTCCTCCTCTCAATGCTATAATAAAACACCCCTTCCCCAAATCTCCCAAAATGGAGAGCAGATATTCTTTTCATTTCTCATCCATTGCAGTGCAAGAGAATCATAACACCTACACTGCTTTATACCTACATGTCAACTGGTGGTTATGAGACATAGTAGAGGAACGGAGGCTTGGAACTTTCTATCTCCAGGACAGCTCCACTTGTCTTGTGATACAGACTTTGTTTTGAGTGTGTGCACCCGGGTGAGAAACTGGGGCATAACTCAGTAGGTTTCCACTTTGAACAGGGCCATCTGCCATGGTTTTCTGGATCTTGTGAGATCCCGAAGACTGAAGACAACTTAAACTGAATTCTAAGTTTTTAGAATGAATAAGTTAAACACAAGGTATTGGCACTACCAGATTTAACTTTGGCATGTTCACAAACACCCAAATGTAAGAAACACAATACATTTACAAAGTATAAATGAGTCAAAGGCTTAAATAAGAAGATAATTCAATGCATGTGGAATAAAGTTTTTAAAAGTGTGTATGCATCTTATAATACAATTTGAAGAATGGAGAAGCTGGAGTTCATCTGAAGTCATCTGATAAACCAGTGGCAGTGGAGAAGAAGGGGGAATACATTTATTTATACTGTATGAATAAAAAGAAGATGCTTTGCACACCAAGCTTTTATAACTGTGCTCTACAAAGCCTTGTAATTCTATCAGGTTCCAATTAACTTTAGCACAGCAAGATAGAAGGAACAGTATCTTTTTAGTGATGTTTTAATGCCTTACAGGGAATACAAACGATTTATCACAGAGAACAGGCATGGATAGCCAACTGGCTGACAAAAAAAGAATTTAAAACTTTTGTGGTTGCAATGATGATCAAAGCTTTATACTTTCACTAAGTTCCAAATTATTTTGATTTTATTTCTGTTGTGACAAAAATGTTATAAAATGCAGTTTTTAATACTTCTACCAATCATTAACTAAACATAAGATCAAATAAATGCACACATTAAAAATTATATTTGGGAATGCACTAATTTAGCAGTGTTTTTATATTATCAATAAAGAGGCAATATAGAGAAATGATCAAAACACAACTAATTATACTTTACACCTGTATTTTAGCTAGTGAGTAAAGCGACCGAAACGCTGGCTTGCATCCATAGATGCTTCTCAAGCAAATCCTGGGACGTCATTCTCCCCTTGTACTTGGCCTTGGTGAGGCCGCAGCTGGAGTACTGCGTCCAGTTTTGGGCTCCGCAATTCAAAAAGGATGTGGAGGAGCTTGAGAGAGTCCAGAGAAGAGCCATGTGCGTGATCAGAGGTCGGGAAAACAGACCTTACGACGACAGGCTGAGAGCCATGGGGCTCTTTAGCCTGGAAAAGCGCAGGCTC